TGTAAACTGGAACAATACCGCTGAAGAAGGAAGTCGCCCGTACGTTTTTCTCTCACAAGGGAGGTGTTTCAGGTCATGCCGCGCTTTTTGGAAATGGTTTGTTGCTTGTTGTAGGGTTCCATACAAGGGTCACAAAAATGGGTTTCATTTTTGCTATGCGTTTCTGGGTAGGTCAAAAACTGAGTGAAAAGAATTTGGCAGGAATGGGCGGTTTAACAACGTTAATGGGCTCCGTTCTGCTTGTAACTTCGAGCATGCATTGTTTATGGTGTGTTCGTTAATTAGGACTCGAAATATAGATTTGAATGAAGCAAAATGTAAAAATCATGTAGTGACACTCTTGCCATTGCACCATGGATTCTGATGACCACGCATGCGGGACTCGGTTCGGATCCTCATTGTGGCAACAGTTTTGCATCTGTATCAACGCAACGAGACGAGAACATTTCCGGAAACAAGGTTCTCCACACAAGTGTGTGGGTGTCATCCAGGAAAGGCCAACAAGTCAACCTGGACATTTGCAGTGACTGCATATCATTGTACTCGTCTTGACACAGTGAACTCGAAACTACCTTCAAAATTTGCGGAACGATTCTCTGAGCGGAGTTATGGAGGTTTTCCTTCACTGTTTTTCTTCCTGTGGGGTGGGCGCCGCGGTAATATTGCCACCTGAATAGCGCGACTCACAGCTCTCTCCGTGCGAAATAGATATCATATTCGTGTTCAGGGTGTCAAACAAGCCCTAGAAACGCCACCTTGAGGAAATCCGAGGTTCTGACTCAACTTCGAAAAAACGGGTGGGTAGGTAGAGATGGTCACGCCTGGATGATAGCCAATACTCCGACTAGCATACTGGTGATAACTGGTCTTTGCACTGAAATAACCCTTCAGTCATGTCTTTTCGCAAAGAACAATACCTGCCTCACTGTTTTGTGCCGCCTGCCCATTTCATTTCCTGAATTACCGCGTAGAAAATTCCATCCCAAGAGACCAGTCATCTTAGAGTAGGTGGACCCCAAGCCTGCTGCTAAATTGTCATATAAAATGGACCCACAATTCTTCCAGGTATAGGTCGAAACGTCCAGATTTGGAAAAAATTAGTCCCCAGGGGTAATCCAACCCGCTGAACATAAATGTGATGGTATTTCATTGCAATAACTCTTCTGACATGAGCTACGAGAGACAAGCACACTAACAGGTCACAGTGTGGCCACAAGTATATGCCTTCAAATGGCATATACTCGACTTATTTCCATTGCCAGACACACGAATGAATGGAAAGCTGAAGAATGCAAAAACGTGCAGCGGAGGGACGATCCGATCCACAAAGTCCCCCCTTGCCGTGCCATCCAGAATCCGTCGTGTTATCCACTGCGCCATCGACCCGTTGGCAGTGGTCGTGAAAGGCCCGCTCACAAAACAGCGCCCTTGCGCTGGTGCATGGCAAGAGTGTCACTACATGATTCTTACATTTTGCTTCATTCAAATCTATTTTCGAGTCCTAATTAACACGAAACAGCACCATAAACAAAGCATGCTCGAAGTTGTACAAGCAAGGAAAAAGGCAGGCCAACTAACGTGTTAAACCGCCCATTCCTGTCAAATTCTTTTCACTCAGTTTTTGACCTACCCAGAAACGCATAGCAAAAATGAAACCCATTTTTGTGACCCTTGTATGGACCCCTACAACAAGCAACAAACCATTTCCAAAAAGCGCGGCATGACCTGAAACACCTCCCTTGTCAGTTGGTAGAGAACACTCACTACTTGCCGTCCCGCTGTTGCGCAACGGGCTGAACGATCCCGAAGTCCTCGCCATCGTTTATAGAGTGGAATATCGTAACAGATTATTCTCTTATTGGGTGAAAAGAGCCGCTTCAGGACGAATCGACAAAGGAGAGTGAGGAAGAAAGAACTTTAAAGAAGGCCTATTGATAGATGTGTAACTGCGCTGTTCACAAATACGAAATATGCAATCACAGAGCGTTTTTCATTTCCTTACAGGTATCAATGCCGAACTTTTACCAGCTTGCCTGTAGTGTCCTTTTCGTCTCTCTCTAACTCTTTCTAAAGCCTATATTGTTTTATTCCTGTGGGGTGCGGTGTCAGTAGGCGTGGATAATCCCACGCGACTGCAGTTCATCATCCAGTAGCAGCTAGTACAAGTAGAAAACAATCAGTGGTAGAAGCTGTCATGCGAATGCGGCTAATTTCACGCTCCTGACAGCCCGCTGTGCATTGCGACGACATGCAACTAATTACTGCTCGGCGACACAGGAGTGAAGCTCTGAAAAAGCAATTGCAAAAAAATCCACTCGTTTTGTCCACTTACGAAAGCGCAAAATGCGCCTGTCCAAGCTAGTCTACATATCCATACCGTAATAACCAATGGCTTTCATGATTCAGAAACTGTCCAAGAAAGTTCTGGATTTTGTGAAGACGAATCAGTTTGAGACCCAACTATCTACAGATATGATCTCGTCGTTAATCGCTCAAATGACCTATGTAAGTGATCAGTTCTTTAAAAGCTCACCGCCGTTTCAGCTGTAATGCACGGAAACACCAATTAGTTAAGTGACCCAGACAGGTACAGGGAAAGGACAACGTTTCGCTGTATTCAATCCTTTTCGGATACACTACGCTTCTACTTCATTACGAATGGTGGCCACACTAAATGTGATGTGGCCACTTAATGGCGTGCGGAGGAGCGCCTGCCGACCGTTTACAAGGTCAGTTCGGGTGGAGAGTTTGGTTGGCCTGGAAGGGAGCCGATTCACGATGATACTCGGATCCTAGGAGCGTGTGGTAATGTGCCGTTTGCCGCTACACCACTTCTGCCTCAGTTGAGCATATATTTAAAATTTATTAAGTATCGGCAGAACAGTAGCCGGCGTGAGCCCCACGAGGCATTTACAATGAAATGAATGAATAAATTTCCGTGGGTGCATGAACGCAGAGCAGGAAGGAAGATGGGAGTGTACTCCGTGGACGGAGGGGAGGGGGGCATGAACAGCTCAAAGGAGAAGTGGTCGCCAACACTGCGGGCTCGGACGCGAATGATTGCAAACTCCGAATACAGTCCTGTTCGCTGCGGATGCTGGGGCGCATCAGGGATGCTAGGTTTGGCGCAGCGCCTGCCGCTCTCCGTCAACTGTAGAAGCAGGCAGGCGACCACAAGTAGTAAGAACTGGTGGGGATATTCGTCGGAATCTGATGCAAAGAAAGGGTGCTTCCAAGCTTTTGAATTCAGGGGGTCGTTTTTCATGAAGCATGCGTAGTTAAAACGGAGCTTGATTGTTTCCTTGTTCACCGACTGACAAGCTTCCAAATTGGTTATTTTACTTTCCCTATGTTTCTGATGACTGAGAAGTGATAGACAGCAAACTCATCCCTTCTCTAGTGAAGTGAAATTCTCGTTTGCACTAAATGTCATAAATGACAGGCCTCACCAAATTTCTGGCTTCCATTTGCGGAACACGTATTGAAGAACTTACGGGAATTATTGACCGGTGAGTTCCAACTGCCATGGAACAACTCATATTAAGAGAATTTGCAGATCAGATAAACCAATGAAGCTATAGAACATGTTTTCCAGCCGAAGCAAAGGCAGCCGAAGACCTCGAAACACGAACACAGTGGTTTGTCTCTTTGGCTGGATCGTTGTTGTCCACTACTAATGAGGTACCGAATAGAATTGAATTGGTCGTGAAGAATTAATAGAAACCATGTCTGTTTAGAACTACATTCATAACAAGGAGATCTGTTTCGAGATGATCGGCTTACTACTAGATTGCAAAAGTAAAGTCGCTTACATTGTAAGTACTCAACGGTATGGGTTGATTTCGTTAGGCCAGAGTCATGGCGACGCGGTAAAAGGAGAAGCTATGCAAGCGGATTTCATGTGCTCTACATTCGCACCAGAACCAATCCAGTTCAACGTGACAGTGCTAGTCCTTCTGATTAGCGCACGATGCCATGACTCGGGACTGATGGCATATGTACCTTCCTGCGATATTCTTCGAATTCCAATCACATTACCAACCGAAACCGTTTGCATCTTCAGAGCGGGTCTATTGGGCTTTGGTACATGCTCTATATGTTGTCACGGATTTATCCAGAAAATACACGATATATTGCCGATCGACTCGAAAGGCCACTCAAAGAATGGGTTCCTATTCGAGTAAGTTCTTTGAAAATCGAGACTTGAATTTTGACCAGCATCCCGCAGTAGCAACATTTCATGTGAGTCTTTGAAAAAGCTGACCTGGATAAGTGTGCACACCTGTCCCGACATCTTGGAATAGTCGCACAGTAAGAGCAGATAAGTGCTCATGGTCAAAGAAAATATCTTCAGTTTGATCCTCTAATCCTAACCAATAGCTCTCATTTGACTCTCCAACTTCACGTCTATCTATCATCACAACCAAATTGCGCACTCGTGGATCCTGATCCTCGTATGTGGAGGCGAATGGGTTTGCAGATGTACTAGCTCGTCATTTTTCCGATCAAAGGTCCGCAAGGATGGGCCTGGAGAATAGGCTGCGTTCATACTTAGCGGCAGCGTTCACCAGCGACCACAGGCTTCCACCAGCGACCATCAGCGTTTCGAGCGTCCGTCAGCGTCAGCGACTAGGAAAGTATAGATGTCGATCTAGCGAAGGCAGCTTCACCAGCGTCCACCAGCACACCAGCGATCGTCAGCGTCTCGAGGGAGTAGCAAAGTATGGATATCGATCTAGCGTCCACCAGCGACCAGGAGTAGAGAGTATGGGGAAGTAGGAGGGAGGAGACAGCTGGATTAGGCGCCGTGAAATAGTGACGTGTGCAAGCGCACCACACTACTGTACAATACCGTACTCCTGGACGCTGGTGGACGCTAGCAGGCGCTGATGGACGCTGCCATTTGCTGGACCGACATCTATACTTTGGTAGTTGCTGATGCTGATGAAACCTCGAAAGTTGATAGTCGCTGGTGGATGCTAGTGGTCGCTGATGGAAGCTGGCGCAAAGATGAACGCAGCCTAGTGATAGCCGAGTGCCGTCTCCCCAATCCGCCCCCGCTGCCGCAGGAACGCCGCCTGACCATAACCAAACGCGCTTCTTCTCTGCGCCCTCTCACTTTTGGTTGTTCCTCATATGATTTTCACTGGATATTTCCACATCAAACCTCTCACGACTTTACCTTACCGACTGCCACGCAAAACGTTCAGAAGGAAACTTGTGTTTCTTACCACAGTACACAGCTAGAGAACGAGAGCGATGGTAAACTTTGTAGGAGTGGGGAAAAATACTACATAGCCTGAAGAAAATGGCATGGTATGTCCTGGTGAGAAGGGTAAGGAGCTGGTGGAAACACTGCTGAACAAGTTCTTGTTCCCTGTAGTGGACTCACTGAAGAATAAGGACATGGACAGTGCTTGGCAAGTTTGTTCTCATACGTCGATCCCTTCGCAGTCTCTTTAAACAGATTGTTTTTTCAGAGAATCCCTGAAAAAGGCTTTCACCATTCTGAACTTTGGCTTCAGTGGAGCGGTAACATGTTTTGCGCTACCGCAGTCCCCTCCTTTCCAGTCTCCTCACAGTGCGCTGCCATGGTTTCCAGCCCGATTCCATTAATCCGGCAATTCTTCACTGGGGTATGTTTACAACTTTTATTCAAGTACTTTCCATAACTATCTGTAATGATTTTTAACATCGGATCGAACAAAATTCAGGGCGCACTGACCCCTGATAAACCTGAATATTGAGAACAGCGATTCATCCCTTGCCGAAAGACGAAAAGAAATGAAATCTTGAATCTACAGCATTTCCAATTACTCCTGGAAAAGACTAAAACGTGCACGACGGGTCGTTAGCTAGTGTTTGAGCACCCATCTCTCCTGCAAAAATGCCAATGCCTAAGCGAAATGAAGGACATCTACCTGATGAGGGTTGGAGTGGAGACGGTCTGAGACATGTTTTGCCATCCAATTATGATAGTCGCCATGTCTACTGGTGAGAGGGTCTTATGGATCATTGCATCACAGTGGTCCTCAACTGCAGAACCCACGTGCTGTCGAGGGGGCTGCTTTCGAACGGCCGCCAGTCCGTCATCACACCAATCTTCCTCCCTTGCTCTCGCTTCAATAACTGGTGGCGGAAACGGCGTTTTCACTAGCCACACTCAGCCCCTCCCTTTCTCCCTCCCCCTCTGCCCCGAGCTCCGCTTTCTCCTTCCCCCCGCCCCCGAGCGTCTGCCAGCAGGAAAACTATGTATATGCGTAACAGGCAGGCTCTGCGCAAGAAACGTTTACAGAAATACACCCCTCTCACAGCTCCCTACCACAGAATCTTAATTTCTCAACTTCCTACCACTCTTCACTTTCGGTGAGTCGCAGTCTCAGAAATCTAGGAGTCTAGCGGGGGTCCCAACAAAACCTACCGTACGTCCCTAGGCTTTGACGAAGGCGACTAGCCGAAACGTTAGCCGAATAAAGTGATAACACCTTGGTTAGGGCTACGGTATCACTATCTGAATAACCATAACAATTACTTGAAGATATACGGCCCCCATCCGGGCAGAATTTTTGCGAACAACTGGTGAACACACTGGAAGAGGTGGCCGAACGGCTCGTGTCATCAAAGCGGGAACATACTCAAGTGCTCAGCACTATTTGCAAGATCCTCCATTCCATTATTCACATCAACAGTGCAGATTCAGTAAGTAATAGATTCTGTTTGTGCACAAAGAGCTCGAGGGGCTTCTCACCAGACCACGGCTAATCCGCAAAAACGACAGTGCAGTGTCCGGTTTCTCTTGCAAAATCGCTTCCGTGAAAGACGTGTTCCAAAGGCAGTTCCGCGTCCACTTGATGTACAAATACTATAGTGAGCAAATCAGTTTGACCCTCCAGCTCACAAAATGTGTCACTCAAGCGGGACGCATTTTTCAGCGGCTTACGTACCTAGGGCGAGCGGCGACCTCACCTTGGGGCCATGGAATTGGCTCAACCTCTACGAATGTGGACCGAGTTGTCCCATACCGAGAAGGGAATCCTTACAATGGATATTCGCGGCAGCGCTTTCATAGATTGGCTAGTTGGTCTTATGGTGAAGCTGAAGGTCTACCGTAAAGGGAATCAGGTCCTATGCAGGTACAGCTGCTATCGTCGCAATCAGTCGAGACGGTGCTAATAGGCATAAAATAAACTGTCGGCTTTTCACCAGAGATTGTTTCCTTCCCGAACCGACAACTAGTGATAGAAAAGGGAACGGGAAGCGCACTCATGTCACCCCTCGTGATACCTCTCCTACCAATCCCATTTGTTACGACTAGTTCAACTACAGTGTGCGGCGCATTTTGCGGAGAAGGGCGCACCCAAAGCGACCTAACAAGACTCAATGAACGATTTGAAAACTCACTTACATAAGCGTGTATAGCCCTTCTAATTGAATGAAATATGTTTTAGCATCAATTAGATACAGCAGTTGGAGAGCACGGAGACATCTACAACTATATGACCATTCCAATTTCTAAAGAAACGTCACATTTTCGTACTTGAATCGCAAGCCTATGTCGCCCATATGGTACTTTAGCGCATTTCCACTTTGTTAAGACAAGCAATTCCTTTCACGCTGTTCCAGAGAAACGTGGTGGATTTACCTGCTGGAACGTTCACAAATTTCCATTTGAGAGTTGTTCACATACTTGCGAAGCTCATCATAAATGATTATTCTGAGGTAAGTGTTGGGAACGTGAGGCGCAGGAGAGTAGGTTTAAGGTATGGATTTCAGGTAAGATATGAAGCACTGTCGGTGTTCTCGAGTCTTTTCTCTGAGTACGCGATCGCCAGAGAGACTATCGTAGACGACATTCTACCTACACTGACTAATCCCGACAGCACGAGAGAGCAACTCAAGGTAAGGGCTACTTTCAGTGGGGGTGAGGCTATCCAAATGCACAAACAGCTATCGCGTACCGAGCGGAGGCTTGTCCCCATGTCAAGGAAAATGACCAGTTATAAGAAGCTCGGAATGACTCTGTAATCGAAAACACGATTGAGCCGGCACTACCATGTGTCGGTTAAGAATTGTGTGCGTGCTCGTGCAATTCCTAAGTGCTCTTCTTTGTACAAGTGGTTTAGCCCTCAGTCTCTAAGTTTGTCACTTTCGCGGCCTTACAAAGTAATGAAGGCGCTGCGGTCCTCATAAGTAGCAGTTCTAACGCCTCTCTAGCTGCCCCGCCCACCAAAAATCAAAGGCTATTTTCTGCCTGGTGTCTAATCTACTGCAGGTGACCCCATCGTTCAATTAGAAATGATAGAAAACAGTTAGTGGCTGGTTCTGGTGCTGCGCTTATCGCTCTCCCGTGGCGCGTCATGCATAAGCTCGTCGATTTTGAACACACTGAGCAGTTCGGCATGTGGACAGCGCGCTCCCGCCTGAACAATGGAGGCAATTTAATAGTATCTCTTTCGTTGAAGGGAGCTCTGAGTATCATATCGCAAACAAGCTGGGCAACCTCAAGCACTACATCAGTGAAAACCAAGGTCTGGAAAGCGATTATCGAAATGAAGGTGAAGTTTTGGCATTCGTTTTAAGCAAGCAGCAGAATTCTGTGGGTGCGTCAGCAGAAATTTCATTTCAAAAGGGCTGTCCTTTTGGCTCCATGGAAGCGAGTTCCTTCAAGCAGCGGCGCTTCACAAAGCTTTGGGGAATTTTGGCTTGATTGTCAGGCGTATCGACGGAGACAATTTGGCACAGGGGGAAGAGGGATCGCATTTATCGAAAAATTTCCCAACACCTTGAAGTGTTTTGGTCCCTCTGGGTAATCCTCTCGC